AATGAACTCCTTGAACTAGTACATTCCGACGTCTGTGGACCAATGCGCACCCAGTCCAATGGTCACTCGAAGTATTTTGTCACATTCATTGACGACAAATTAAAGTGGTGTGAAGTATACTTTGTCAAACAAAAGAACGAAGTATTAAGTAAGTTCACACAATACAAAAGAATGGTCGAGAATACTACAGGAAAGAAAATCAAAACGTTGCGTACTGATAATGGTAAAGAGTATGTAATCTCTGAATTTTTTCGGCTGCTGAAAGAAGCTGGTTTTATACCAGCATGAATAAACTGTTGAATATACTCCACAGCGAAATGGAGTAGCCGAACGGAAAAACAGAACTCTAATCGATATGGCGAGCTGCATGTTACTTCAAAGTGAACTTGCAGCAAGTTTCTGGGCTGAAGCGATCATCACGGCGAATCACATCAGAAACCGGTGTCCATCACGAAGTCTAAATGGTGAAATACCCTACACTCTATGGACCGGCAAAAAGGCAAACGTTAACTATTTGCGGAAATTTGGCACAATCGCCTACATGCTAGAAAAGAAACCTGGAAAAGGAAAATTCGAGCCAAAATCAAAACGATGTATTTTTATTGGATACGAAAACCAGTCTAAAGCGTACAGACTATGGAGTCCAGATGAGAGAAAAATCTTCAAGAGCCGAGATGTAAAATTTACAGATCATTTTGAAGAAAATTCCGAATATGACGAATTCATCGACGCAAAGCAGCTCATCACGGGAAACCATAAAATAGTGGTCGAAATCTTAAATAAACCAACCAATGCCGTGAATATGAAAAATGAAGTAGAAGATGCGAAGGATCATGGAATCATAAGTACCCCAGTCACCACCAAGCCCAAAAGGGGAAGACCACCCAAGCCAAGGCGTATAATTGAAGAAGCAGAAACACGTAACACCTCTGAACAAGAAAGCCACGTTGAAGAGACGGACCCGCAAACCGCTGAAGAAGCACTCGCTCGACCCGAAGGTGAAGAATGGAAAGCAGCCTTACTAGAAGAATACCCGGCACTGAAGAAAAATAACACGTGGGAGTTGGTAGATCGTCCGTCCAACACCAAGGTCATCGAAACGAAATGGGTATTACGAACCAAACGAAATGCTGATGGATCAATCCAGAGACGAAAGGCAAGACTCGTCGCTAAAGGTTTTGCACAAACACCAGGCGTAAATTATACAGAAACATTTGCTCCTGTTGCACGAATGAGCTCCATACGTATGCTCATGGCATTATCCGTTGAATTGGAAATGGAAATTTAACAACTTGATTTCGTAAGCGCATATCTAAATGGTGAAATTACCGAAGACATCTATGTGGAAATACCTGAAGAACTAAAGCATATTCTCAGTGGTCACGAACAAGAGGCCTATAAGTCAGACAAAGTGTGCAAAATTCAAAAGGCACTTTACGGTCTAAAGCAATCAGGACGTCAATGGAACAAGAAGCTCGACGAGAAGCTGCAAGAGCTTGGTTTGGAACCTTGCAGCGCAGACCCTTGTGTATACACCAAGCGAAGTGAGAATATATATGTTGATGATCTCATGGTAGCATCAAACAACAAAGAAACAACCGACGACCTTAAGAAGGAACTTGCAAAAACCTTCGACATGAAAGATATGGGACCCCTAAGATACTGTTTAGGCATCGAATTCGAGCAGAACGCAGAAACAACCCAGATAAAGATTCACCAACGAAAGTACACAAATGAAGTCGTCAATCGATTCCACATGCAAGATGCGAAAGCCATATCCACCCCAATGTTACCAGGCGAAAAATTATCAAAAACAATGTCACCAAGTACACCGGCAGAAGAAGCGAATATGAAGAACGTCCCATATGAAAGTCTTATAGGCTCGCTAATGTATCTAGCAGTTTGCACTCGTCCAGACATAGCCCACGCAGTTAGTGTATTAAGTCAATATAACTCATGCTTTGGCCGAAAGCATTGGGAAGCAGCGAAAAGAGTCCTCAGATATCTCAAAGGCATCGCAGAAGGACTAATTTTCAAAAGAACAGGCACGGACCTATTCGGCTACACCGACGCCGATGGGGGTTCAAACGTCGACGACCGAAAATCGTACACAGGTTACGCTTTCATGTATGCTAACGCAGCCGTCAGTTGGGAATCCGGTAAACAACGCACAGTTTCATTATCCACAACCGAAACTGAGTACATGGCGATTCCCGACGCAGCAAAAGAAGCAATTCATCTTGGCATATCGGATATCGGTATTAATCGATATCCATCCAAAATCGACGATATTTGATATTTTCGATACGATATATTTGATGTGATATTTTCTCCGATATAAATATCTGAATTTTCGTGTCGATATCATCGCTATTGTGACGAAAAGCCAATGCGGGACAATTTTAGGTGGTGTTATTTTCGATGTGTCAAATGTTAAATGGCGGTTTATTGCCATTCATATGTACATTTATGTATGTAAATAATTACACCTTTAAAAGCATTATTCAATTTGCATGTTTCTTTATTTTTTAAATCATTTTTTTGACCAGAACTGGATTTTTTTATCCTGTAGGGTAAAAAGAGTATATTACTTTGCACAAAAAGTATGTAACAGGCAGAAGAAAGCATCTCCGACCCCATATGGTATGTGTACAGGGTGCGCCATCTTTTATGTCGGTATGCAAACATTGAATATCCTTGAAAATAAACAATCGATTTTCAAGTATGAGATATTTTTATTTACAATTGTACAATTTCTTGAACTGAGGTTTTCAACACTGGTCTACTCAAGTCAATCGGTTCACTAATGACAAAGTTATTCAATATCTACATACCAACATAAAAGGTGGCGCACCCTGTATATATTCTTAATCAGCACGGCGAGAGAAATCGATCTAAGAATGTCCGTCCGTCTGAAAACGGTTAAGCCCACATTAACACTAGGTATATAGAAGTTCCCCGTCCAAAGCTACACGATTATATTACCTTTTTTTAGAGCTTCCCTCCCACTCCACGCTACAGAATTTCGGCAATGCTATCTACATTTCGAAAGCAACATAAGCCTTATTTCCAAAAAAAAATTCGTCGGCGCCACAGAAAATTGAAAGATTTAATTTTCTCGAACTTCCCCTCCAAGCCAGCTGTAAGACACAGCTGACAGTCGACGATTACATTTGGCGATTAATTGTGCTTCAATTCTGTAACGTGCTAAGTTAAATAAAAAACAAATATGCCATTTGCATTAATATTGGCCAGCGAGAATTTGCTGAAACGTCAATTAAATGTTGGAAAAATACAACGCAAATGATTGAGAAGCGCATCTGATCCCACTTAAGAATTCCACCTATATTGCTTATTAAAAATTAAATTTATTTGTAACAGTTTTTATAACATTTGGAATTTTGGGCAATGCCGGGGTGTCCTTGCAAAAATTACGTCTTGTGGCGATCTATGTTTTCCCCTACAAAAACTAGCTTATTAAATTGTTGTTTGTTTTACTGGTACGAATTGTATTTTTAAATGGCGGTTTATCGCCATTCATATTTTCGCTAACACACAGCCCTGTCACGTGACGTTACGGTTGTTTAATTAATACACGGATATTTGGTACTTATTTGAAAAAAAAAATTGCGTCAATTATATAATTTATTTTTACCTTTCGTTTGACTCACAACTTTTGACTTTCAGCAAAATGTGATGTTCGAAAAATGTAATGTTCAATTTTGGCCAATGGGGCATCTCTATTGTGCGGTTGTTTTGTATGTTCGAGTATACATTTAGTAATTTGCTAAAATATTTACATGGGATATTCAAAATATTTTTGATGCAGATTCTTCAGAATAATTATTTTGGAGAAAATTGGGTTTCGCTCATACTCTTGAGTGGAAGAGATTTCTGTGACACCCCTGTATGTACATATGTATACATAAATCTTTTTATACCCTGTACCCGTAGGGTAAAAAGGGTATATTAGGTTTGTGCAAAGTATGTAATATGCAGAAGGAAGCATCTCCGACCCCATAAAGTATATATATTCTGAATCAGCATGACGAGAGAAATCGATCTAGACATGTCCGTCCGTCTGTCCGTCTGGATGAACGCAAGGATCTCAGAAACTATAAAAGCTAGAATAACCAAAGTTGGCATCCAGATTCTCCTAGGTCCGAGTAAGGACGAGTTTATTTTATTTTTTTTAATTTTCCCCCCCTTCCCCCGCTACAGAATTTCGTCAATAGCGTCCACATTTCAAATGCTACCTAAACCAAACTTTGCACACATAATTTATATATAATTGTCTACTGTTGTTCAGGAGTTGTTTTATTCAATTCGGACAATTCTAAGAAAAGTTATTAGCAAAACAAATTCTCGCCAGTACAACCCCCACAAACTGCAGCAACAAGTTCGCTCTTCTTCTTCCTCTTTTTGCTGCTGCTATGGGCGCATATAACTCAGTGACGGAAGTTTACCTGGGTACAGGGTATTACACTGTCGGGCTTGCTCGACTGTAGCGTTCTCTCTTGTTTTTTTTTTTTCAAATTTTATGCAAATCATTCAATTCTAAGAGAAGTTAACGAAACAATGTTGCTCCAGTACTATATCGGCAAACTGCAGCATCAAGCTTGCGCTTGCTACAGGCTTATGAGCTTATGGCTCAGTCCCGGAAGTTGGTCTGGATACAGTGTATTTCACTGTTATTTATAATATCATTAAATTGATCACAACTGCCAATGTTATATGTTAAAAGAAGCGTTGCACGTAATGTGTCCACTTTTAGTGACGCTTGTCCACAAAGCAATTATTAATAAAAATACTAACAGAGAAGGTATTAGACGATAGATAAGTAATTTTGCATTGGTATTCCTTTTTCTTTTAGATTTTTGAAAACCTCAATTCACCGCTGTTTTGTCGAACAGGAGAGATTTTCGGGCTTATCGATATCGGTTCTGATGTGGCCACTCTACAGGTGCAATAAATAAAAACAATGGTTTTCTATCTCTTGCTCTATCTATTATATTAGGTATTTTTAAAGTCATGTTAATACGGGACATGCGTGAAGCGTTTGAGGTTTTCAGGGACTATTTTATTCGATTTTTCAATGCGTGACAACACATGTCAATGCGGGACGGTTGGTCGCTTTAATGTTAACCCACATCGATGTTTAGATGTTTTAAGTGGAAGAACATCGATCTATTTTTGTCAAATTATTTAAAAAACTAAGGTTTTTTATTGAATACAAAAGGTTTCAAAACAAACGATATTTTCACAAATTCAAAGAATATAACAAAACCAAAGAATGATTGATTAAAAAAAAAAATCATAACATCGATGTATCGATGGTTCTTCCAGCACTAATACATGTACATATATTATCACTTTTCTTCGTGAATATTGCTTCGTAAATATTGCTCGTCTGTAGTGTCTCCGTGAGTAACAACACTGACTTAAAAATTAAACTTCATTTTATAAATCATATTTGTTTATTTTTAAAGTAATCTAATTAAACTGGAAAAATGGCAAATAATTATTTAGAGCCAGTTAGCAATCATTTTCCGCATATTGATGACGACAGTTTTTTAAAAAACACTCAAAAAGCAAAAGCCAAGAAACTCAACACGAACCCATTTGAGGAAAAATATGATGACGATGATGATATGTCAACTCAAAGCCGCCAGGCTTATATTGAGAAACGTAGACAGATTGAGGAACGCACTCTGGACTCTTCTAAAATAAGCTTGGGTAATGTAGATATGTACATAAGTCGGTATTTCGATATAAATAATAAAAGCAACTTAACAGGTTTACTTTACGAAACTGAGGAGGTGGGCAATGCCACCGCAGTGGAACTTACTAAACAACGTGAACAGCTGGAAAAAACATCTCTTCAATTAGATGAAATCAATGTTACATTACGGACCAGTCAAAGACATTTGACAGGACTTAAAAGTTTGTTCGGAGGTCTCAAAAACTATCTTTCGGGAAATCGTGTCCAACCCACACGCTCACCCAACACACCCGCTAATTCAAGTGCCATTGAAGAAGAAGTCCAAACATCATCGGCGGAGCTTTACGATAATCAGCCGGTTAGCCGAATACGAAATGTTGGAAGTACTTCTCACCATCAGCAGACACAGCAACAACATAATTTCGAATCATGTTTAGAATCGAATCTTAAAGAAATGTGTGACAATCTATCCCGTTTGAAGTGCTTGGCTAATAATTTAGGCACTGAAATCGAATCGCAAAATGATTTGCTTGATAACATGAATTATAAGGTCGAAGATGTGGATTTAAAAATTAGCAAACAAAGTAAACAAATGAACCTGCTGTTAAAGAAATAACGGCAAAAACAAACAAATTTAATTTTTAAAAGATATAAGAAAACTATACTATTGTTAATTATCGTGTAACATAAATTTGCGAAAAAATATAAATACATATACAAGCCCCGACCAGGCTCATTTTTATACCCTGTACCCAAAACGTAAAAGAGTAAACTAGTTTTCTGTGAATGTATTTAACACACAGAAGGAGACGTGGTAGATCCCCAAAAGTATACAGATATGTATACTTGTATGTAGGAGAATAACACTTAAATAGATGTAAATCATTAAATGATGTGTGTAAATCAAATACAAAGAGAATGTTTCGTGTGATCTAACGGCAAGGTTTAAGTATTGCCTTAGCCGAGCAAAACGCATTGTTCTTGTCTAGGAAGTTTAGAAAAGAAAATGGGAAAGAACAAAAAAAACAGTTTGCCCTGACTGACTGATTGGTGATCAACGCACAGTCCAAGACTGAATTATTGGGGCTTTTTTGGGGCACAAGAGGAAACCGCGTCAACAGCCTACAGCCCAAACGGTAAGAGCTAGAAAGCTGAAATTCGGGGTCAAGTACACTACCATAGTGTAGGTGCCCACTAAAAAGGGATTTTGGGGGGGGGAAAACAAGCTCCAAAGTGTGTTTGAAACATCTTCAGTTTTTCACCGATGAACCTAAAAATTGTTTTTATACTCTGTACATGAAATGTACAGAAGTATATTATGTTTGCGGGAGCTGAAAAATGTAACAGGCAGAAGGAGGCGTGGCAGACCCCACAAAGTATATATATTCTTGATCAGCATGACGAGTCGAGTCGATCTAGCCCTGTCTGTCTGTCTGTCCGTCCGTATGAACACCTGGATCTCAGAGACTATAAGAGATAGAGACACAAAATTTTCCACAAAGATGCGTTATGTGTATATTCTATACGAGTTTGTTTTATTTTTTTGATTTTCCCCCCCACTTCCCCCCTATGGGGGTTTTCCCGATTTTCCATTCGTATAATCGCCTATATCTCGGAGACTATAAGACCTAGGCACACCAAATTTTAGTCCAAGATGCCTTGTGTGAATACGCAGAAAATGTATATTTTGGAATTTCCCTCCCTCCCCCCTCTCCTTCGCAAATGCGATTTTCTCTAACTCCCGTAATTCTTGGAATTTCGAACTAAAATTTTGCAAATACCCCCAGTTAGTAATTATGTGTCCGAATGCCAAGTTTCACTATGATAGACCGATTTACCAAGAAGTTATAGCCATAAATATATTTGCTGCTGCAGCGCTGCTCAAGCGCTGCCCGCGGCTGTTGTTGATGTTGCTGTTTGGTTGACTGCGAAAATGCTTACACAGACACGAATTGATGCGCATAGGCATACATACACTCACACAGACGCAATTGCTATGTAAATGTGCAATTATACACCCTTTACGTGAGTTCGAATACCGAGAGAGGTAAAATCGATCCAATTTTTTATTATTTTTTTTTTTATTTTCTATAATTATTGTAAACATATGTACAGAGTATTTCAAAGTCGGGACACCCGACTTTAGCTTTTTTACTTGTTTGAAATTGGTCTTGGAGATTAAATTATTGGGGTTGTTACTGCGGCTGTCTGTACATGAGTATATTAGGTTTGCGGAAGCTGAAAAATGTAACAGGCAGAAGGAGGCGTGGAAGACCCCACAAAGTATATATATTCTTGATCAGCATGACGAGTCGATTTATCCCTGTCTGTACGTCCGTATGATCACCTAGATCTCAGAGACTATAAGAGATAGAGACACCAAATTTTGCACAAAGATGCCTTATTCTATATGAGTTTGTTTTATTTTTTTGATTTTCCCTCCACTTCCCCCCTATGGGGGTTTTCCCGATTTTCCATTCGTATAATCGCCTATATCTCGGAGACTATAAGACCTAGGAACACCAAATTTTAGTCCAAGATGGCTTATGTGAATACGCAGAAAATGTGTATTTTGGAATTTCCCTCCCGCCCCCCTCTCCCATGTAAATTGCGATTTTTTCTAACTCCCGTAAATCTTGGAATTTCGAACTAAAATTTTGGAAATACCCCCAGTTAGTTATTATGTGTCCGTATGACAAGTTTCACTATGATAGACCGATTTAACAAGAAGTTATAGCCATAAATATATTTGCTGCTGCAGCGCTGCCCGCGACTGTTGTTGATACTGGTGCTTTGGTTGACTGCACACATGTTTACACAGACACGAATAGATGCGCATAGGCATACATACACTCACACAGACGCAATTGCTATGTAAATGTGCAATTATACACCCTTTACGTGAGTTCGAATACCGAGAAAGGTAAAATCGATCAAAAAATTTTTTTTTAATTTTCTTAATTTTTTTTATTTTCTATAATTATTGTAAACATATGTACAGAGTATTTCAATTTCTGGACACCCGACTTTAGCTTTTTTACTTGTTTTAATTAAATTTGCACCGGGCTTCCACCAACACGTCTGTTCTTCTTCGTTTCCAAATTACAAGTCAGCTTATTCAAAAGTGTTCACATATAATAGGTGTAATAAGTGTGTACATAATCAATTATTCAAATGAGTTAAGAAACTGCTAAATTCATTTTAGCAAAATGTACAAATTTTCTGCGACATATTTCTGCCCCCTAGTGTTGCATCTGTTTCTCAACACGATCATTAATGTCGCTGGATTCAATTTGTAAACGGCATAGTTTGTTTACTGGTCTTCGGTAGAGGTTTCGGTAGTCTTCACATCCACCACACGTACCACGTTGTCGTCTCCTGGATATGTTTTCATTACTACTCCCAGTGGCCAGTCACCTCGCGGCATGTTCCCTTTGATGACCACCACCTCGCCTTCACGAATGTTATCGCAGTTTTTTGACCATTTTGGGCGAGTGATCAGCGTTGTTAGATACTCCTTTAAAAATCGTATCCAGAAGTTTTCAATTAGCCACTGAGCTTGTCGACAAATTCTTTTCTCCAAAGGATCGTTGTTAGCACACGGAGCGTGTATTGTTGCTTGTTGTTGGATGAGTATGTCGTTTGGACATATTCCATAGCTATCATCGGGGTCATCTGATTCCAATATGTATGGTCGACAATTGACCAGATGTTCTGTCTCACAAAATATTGTTTGTAGAGCCTCGTCGCTCAGATTTGAGTTTATTGGAATGACAGCCTCCATAGTTCTTTTGAAGCACCCTATTAGGCGCTCTCAACAGCCTCCGAAGTTTGGCGCACTTGCTGGAATAAATTTCCAATCAATTCCAGTGGTAGTTATTGTTGCCAGTTTAGATCGAATTGCTGCAGTGTCCAATTCCACAAGTGCTTCTTGTAGCTCTCTGCAGGCGCCTCTGAAGTTGGTAACGTTATCCGACCATAGTGTTTCAATATTGCCTCTTCATGCAAGCATGCGTCGAATTGCCATTATGAAGGAATCGGTGTTCAAGGAGTTTGCCACTTCTACATGTACTGCTCTCGTGGTTAAGCAAGTAAAAAGTACCCCATATCGTTTGCGCAAGACTTTGTTGTATCGGCCACTACTTCCTCTGCCTTCCTTTGTGTAAAAAGGGCCAAAGTAATCAACTCCAGCTGAAGTAAATGGTTTCTGGGATACGGTGAACCTCTCTTTTGGTAGCCATCCCATTTTTGGCTGCATCGGTTTAGCCTTTTGCCGTCGACACCACAGGCACTCATTTATTTATTTAAATCAACAAGTGGATCTGTCGATTTATTCAATAACAATATATAAGTATTAACATATTATATATATATTAAGATTTAAAATTAAAAATTCAAATATGATTTATATAAAATAGTCTCAACTTAAAAGATAAGAAAGCCTACAAAAAAGCTGTACAATAACGTCTATAAATGCCCCCGACACGTTGGGGGAATTTTATTTGCCAGTTGGCCAGCTATGCCCCGATTCACAGCCATATGTGTCAAAGACATTATAGACCTGACAATCTAAACAAATAGTATGTAGAAGAGGAAAATTAATTCTACTTAGAAAAAGTAAGGAGTAGAAAGAGACAGAGGTAAAGAGGGAGAGAAAGGAAGAGAAAGGGGAAGAGAGAAACAGGGAAAGAGAAAGATGGAACAAGAAAGACAAAAGGAGAAAGAGGGAAATCTCCAACCCGGTGGGGGAAAGTTTTAAGCCAGTCCGGCCAGCTATGCCCCGACTCACAGCAGTATGTGGTCAGAGATTTCCACGGAGATAACTTATGACCGCCTTGATCAATGTATTCATTTTGGGCATCCAATACTATTCTTTAAATTTGTGCACCACGACTTGTACTCCTGTGTGATTTGCCCGGTTGTGTAAGTCGTATATAAGCCTCTTTGTGAAATGATGTTTCCCATCTAGTACAATTGGTTTAGTACGTAGAATGCCTTTTGCTCGTTCGATTCTGCTACCGACGCATAGTAGATCCGCGTCATCCACAAACAAGCAATACTTGCTTGAACGTAGATCGGATGATCGTATGCCTTTTTTGACAAATTTTTTTTTCCCGTAGGAGTCAGCCTGAACCATCTAACACCAAGTTGTTTTGGCCCAAGTAAGTTCTTCGACATCGAGATCTCCACGTTTTTTCTGTTGTTGTTTTTCTTTACGTTCGTTACAAATCGCTTGGCCCAACCTGTTGAACGCAAAAGTTTTGTAAAATTAGATATTCTTGATAAAAGGATACTCAGCACGGGGTCTTGTTGGCAAGCAACCATGACGGTTTCCTCGTTTGCTTTGAACTTCTGTATAGGCCAGTAATTTCTTTCCAGGGCCACAAATTTAGGGCCGCATTGCCATCTCAATAATTTTTGTTTTTGTGTTGTTTCGCGTGTTATGATGTCTGCAATATTGTCCTCTGTTGGCACCCAGCACCACTCGGATGTGATCGACTTCTCGCATATTTCTCCGACTCTATTTGCCACAAATGAGCGGCCATCAGTTTTGATCCAAGTAAGGGCCGTCATTGAATCTGTCCAATAGAATCGCTCGTCGAAGGTTATTTGCATTTCGCTTTGCACTGCATCTGCTAATCGGCAGCCCATGACCGCTGCCAGTATCTGTAACTTTGGTATGGTTATATGCTTCAAGGGAGATACTCTAGCTTTAGAAGCAATTAAG